CCCTTTTCCCTCTCATTCGCCATGTGTAAGCCAGTTCAGATTACTTTAGCTTGGGCTTTCTACTTTATTATACCTGTTCATTCTGGAATGGGCCAACTGCATCCTGAAAACATTAATGTCTTGCCTTTAATATGCCTCCAAACCATCTCCCAATTGCCTTTAGCTTGGCTGCCTAAACCATCCTAGAGGCATCTACAAACTCCTCAGTCCCTCTGATCTCCATCCTCTTCCTCCCTGTAAAGCACACTAAATAGCCTATTTTCCAAGTTCAGGAGGGCTGAATTATTCATTGCAGAGGGATGAATGTAGCTCTTTTCATCTGTCCCTGAATGGATTCTGATCTCGGTGAATACTTATTGTTATTCATAACTATTCTCCAGCTAGTTTGGATAAACAGCTTCAAACCAGCGGGCTGTTTCCAAATCGTTCCTCACTGTTCCCCACCCCAGGGCTGGTGGTGGCAAGTGCTTTTGTACCAAATGGGTGGTTGAAAGTTCAGAGAGGGAAGATGAAAGATGGGAAGCAAAGGAGAAACAGGGAATTACAATTTTATTTTTTTTTTCACACTGCTACCCTTGTTCTCATGCATATGTGGATGTTTGCCGGAAAAATGGGCATACCCTGAATGCTACTGTGAACAAGCATCCTTTTGTGGAAATGTTCCTGAATAGCAAATGACAAGGGACATGGACACTGTCACCCAGAACAGCTGTGTGGGATTCAGAGGAGCGCGCGTGAAAGCTGCAAGTCTCATTACAAATGCTTTAGCTTTCCTGCTATTCATCTCCTGCTCCTCCTCTAAAGAGCAGCCATTCACCTACACTCTTCGTTTCTTCTCCCTCGGGAATTTGGAGGGGGTTGTGGGGATCCGGTAACAAACCTCAGCCTTGGATGTGAGGATGAACATCTGGAGCCAACGTTCAGCCCAGGCACAGCCCAGACCTCTTGGGAATCATGGCCAACATCTGGATTTGCATTGTGTCCCATGAAATATGGGGTTTAGGGTCTAAGTGTTGGATCACGTTTAATTTGAAATACAAAGGGGTTTTGCTCCTATCTCTGCTTTCCTAAATTGCATCTTTTGAGAGACCTTGAAGAAAACTCCATGGATTGCCTGAGTAACACTTCTGAAAGCTACCCCCAGGTTACAGGGGAATAATCTGCCTTCACAGCTATCACCTCAGCCTAGTTCTCTCAAATATGTTTCAAGAGACTTCAGAGTTTCCCACAAAGAATCGCACAGCACACAGTGAAATGACAACATGTAATTACCTAGTGGAAATGTGTCATCTCCCATATCCATAGGGAACAGACAGAGCTAGGCAAGGTGGTTAGCTGTGTTGCTCCACCTCTCCCTGTGCATCACCTTATCTGATGCTTTGGGAAAAAGACACTACTTTGGCAGCATCAGGGGAAATTGTGTTTGCAAACAACATGTAAACCTTCAAGGGGGATGGAAGTAGAATGGGCTAAGTATTTTAGGTTCCTCAGCAAAAGAGAACATTTATCAGAGCAAGCACAGGCACAGAGAAACAAACTGGGAGTTTATAAAGAAGCCACATTCAATCACTGAGAGAAAGAGAGAGATTGCAGTACTATGTTTGTGCCCAGCCATAGATCACAGGTAGAAAGCTCAACAAACTTTTCTGCCTGCAGGCTCAGGGGAAAGATGATCCAGCGATCTGGGCATACTCAGGCGATCATGAATTTATTCTTCCTTCACCCGCCAAGCCCTCTTCTTCACTTGCATTCCCAAGTACTCTATGCAGCTGGGAAGGCAGGAGAGAACCATAACCCACTGTACTGCCTCTACATTATCCTCCAGACTGCCGCTGAAGTCCCTGCTGCAGAATCTCCTCCCTTAGTGGATGCTGAACGACGGACAGATGGATTATTCACATGCCAGGTGCCATTCCCGGCACGGAGAGCAAGGGAAAAGCAACCCCTTCTTTCACTTTCCAAATGGAGCTGGGATGATCTGGAAGCCACTGAGAGAGAATAAATATGGAGCATGACCGTCTGTCATTCCCAAATGCTCTCTGCTATTGGACTATTGCCATTACCTTAGAAACAATTATTATCTCCCACCTGCATAAATCAATAACGGCCTCAGCAGCAGAGGGGTTCACATCATCTGAGTTATTTCAAGTTTCTTAGAGAGAGGGAGGAAAGAAGCAAATGGTGGGGAAATCCAGCTTTATTTATTAGGCTACAACACTGGCACAGGCATGACAGTGAGATCTCCATCTGAGGAAACCCATGTCCAGGGCTCAGAGTGACGGACCAAACTTTAAGGAAGCCTTGTGATTACCAGAGTACCAGCCTAACCTGTGAAAAATCTGGTGTCTTTTATTTTAGAATTCAGCTCCCAAATTAATCTAATAAAAATCTTGACATTGAGGAAGAGTGGCAGGGTACAATGAGTTTAATGATTAAGGACAGCTGTGGCGGGGTACTAGTAAATGGTAACACTTACAGCATCCCCTTTGAGGAACTGTGCACTGGCATGGCTCACGTCTGGTACTCAGCAAGGCCAGGAGGAATTAGGCAGGGTCAAGGAGCATCACTGCCTACGGGATCTGTGTGGGGCTTCCCTGCTTGTAAGAAATGGCCAATGCTTAAATGCAAGGAGGAATGAGGTTGGAGGTGTTGGTTGAGGACATTGGGCTTGCTGGACTTTGAGTTTCTTTAGTACATCCAAGACTTGCAGCAAACAGTATGCCAGTCTTCTGTCCATTCTTTTAAAAATGTGGGAGAAAAGCAGTAAGAGTGACCTCTGAGCTAACATTTGCCTCTTTAGAAGGTACAAGGCAGTGGTTTTAATTGTAGCAAGGTATTTTCTCAGTATGTAACCCTCACTGTCTGCTGGGGTGTGAGAAAAGAAACACCTCAGAGGCCTCAGTGCAGGAGGTTTTTGTCTTTGTTGTGCTGCAGTCCTCACTAAAGTGTCATTTTCTGGGGAACGCAGGCCAGGTGTCCTCCAGAAGTGCTATTGCTCTGGTACCAAGTGCCAGCCCTAAGCCAGGCACCACACGACAACTAGGTTTACTTTCATCTTCTCTGTGGAGCAGGGTCTCAGCCTCACACTTGGAGGCATTTCTCTCTCCTGAGCCAGATGAAGGGGAAAAGATCATTTTTACTTTTTACGAAGAGAACCCTTCCTTAGTGCCACTCATCCAGGGCTCTGCTTCGATTAGGAGTCATGTATTTTCATCACAGCTGCAGTATGCACTGCTCTGCAGTGCTCCACCGGGGATGGCAGGTGGATCTCCAGCTCCTTCTTTACCTCCTCTCCCCTGTCCTTAATGTTTTCTGCTCTGCTTTGCTTTATTTGCTGTGCTGAGGGTGAAGTTGGACCTGGGGATGGGATGCCAGGAACAGGAGTCATTATCAATGTCAGGTGCAATATGCTGTGAATAATCACG